AGTTTCTAAGAGACGAATGGTGGGCTGGTGAGATGGCTCAGGGGTAAAGGCAAATGCTACCAGAACTGATGACCTGAGTTTGATTCCAAGGGCCCATATGGTGAAAGGAGAGAACCAACTCCTGAAACTTGTCCTCTGATCTCCATACACAGCATGGCTTACCTACCTACCAGTGGGTCATGCTGAGAATTAACTGTGGACAAAGATCTGCAGAAGATCAAGTCAAGAACTGCAGTGGGGAACAGGAGAGATGGCTCAGCAGTTACGAGCACTGGCTGCTCTTGCACAGGACCCGGGTTTAGATCCCAGTACCCACATGACAACTAACAACCATCCCTAACTCTAGTTCCAGGGGATCCAACAGCCTCTTCTGACCTCCACGGGCACTGCACACAGGGGTGCACTTAAATGCATGCAGGCAAAACACTCATATATATGTATATATACGTGTATGTATATATATACATATATACATATATATGTGTATATATGTATATATTTTTATTTTATATATATATATATATAAAATGAAATAAATTTTAAAGACACTGCATGGTCCAGGGACAAAATGCTGAGGGCCTCTGCCTGGGTTGGAGGGTGACAAGGAGTCGCTGAGGACAGATTTAAGAGCTATGTATGATGTCAGAATGACTTAATGAGAGAAAAAAGAGAGGTAGATGATTAGACTAGAAGATTGGTGCTTCCCCCAGGTGAACAGGGGAAGGCAGTGAACTCCATTTAGGTGTGTCACTAGGGAGGCACCTGGGAGACATCCAAAGATGTCGGATAAACTGGCTGAAAGGTTAGAGAGAGGTGTATACCAAAGGCATCACTTAATCATACACACATTTACTGGGGCCAAAGATTCACTTCTGTTGGGAAAATCAAGGAAACATTCTTTGACCCTATGCCTGAAGATGGGAAAGGAAAGATGTTACTGTAGGGAGACATCTGCCATGGAGGAAGCTGAGGAGTGAGGTGGCAGGTGCCTGCTATGGATAGGAGTGGACAGGTTATAAGGAAAATTACAGGAAACTGGAATGACTTTTGACAGTTTCCAAGTATGATTAAAAGGAAAAGCTTATCTGTGTGTTATGGTACAGAGCTATGATCCCAGAATTTAGGGAGGTAGGAGCAAGAGGATCAGGAGTTTAGGGTCGTCCTTGACCATATATGAATTTGAGGACAACCTAGGCTGTATGAGACCCTGTCTCAAAAAACAGGAAGGGAAGGAAATATTTTAGACTAATGTTCAAAGTTGTTGCTCCTTCCTTTACTCCTACAAAGCATTTTCTTAAAACTTGTGTAATGGGGACTGAGGAGATGGCTCAGTGGATAAAGTATTTGTTGCACAAGCATGAAGACCTGAGTTCAGATCCCTAGTACCCACAAAAACAGCCAGGTGTGGTGGCACGTGCCTATAATCCCAGCACTAGGGAGGCCAAGGCCAATGATCCCTAGAGTTTGCTGACCAACTAGTCTTGCTGAATCAGTGATCTCCAGGTTCAGTGAGAGACCCTGTCCCAAAAAATAATGTGGAAAATGATAGAAGACCTTCAGGATCAACTTCTGACGTACACACACACACACACACACACACACACACACACAGAGTACACACTCAAATACCAAACACAAAATTTAATTTAGAAAACTATATAACAGAAATATATGCCTTAACTATTTTTAATATCCCAGTAGTCCTTGCTCCTGAATACCAGAGCTACCAGGAGACCCCTCATACATGTCTTAAGTGGAGTCATTTAAAGGGAGATGTAAGGAAAGGTAGTGAAAAGCAAGGACTTTTGAACAGAGAACCCACTGGACTACATGTGTGTTCATGGGAGGGCAGCTGGTCAGGTTCAGTCTGCTGTGGACATTTCTTTGGCTTCTTTTCCCATGGGTCTTCTTTGGTTTTGAGATTGACCAAGATTTGATATCTTGTTGATATCGGAAGGAGCAGATATGGGCCACATGGACTTAAAACAACAAACACAACTTACTGTTCATTGCCTGGTTTGTTTGCGCCATAAATTTGGAGTAGAAAACATAGTGTAAATGTGACGGTGAAGGCCGAGGCTTAGAGATAGGATGTGGTTTCTCCAGAGTTTCATAAAGCCGCTGAAGGAAAATTTAATAACACTATTTACCATTCCCCCGTTACCAATTGCATTTGGAAAAGAAAGAAAAAAGAAATGTAAGACACCACAGTGTGACAATTACTGTTAACATTTTGACATGTTTCATACCAGCCTTTTCCCAGTTATAATCTTTTGATGTTATAAACATTTGTCCATTAAACTACAAATTTTAGTGTATGTATATATGTATGTATTTGTTTCTTTATTTTTATGTGTATGAGTGTTTTGTCTGCATGCATGTAAGTGCATCACATTCATACAATGCCTGTGGAGGCCAGAAGAGGGCATCTGATACCCTGGAACTGGAGTTACAGACAGTTGTTAGTTACCACGTGGGTGCTAGGAACTGAATCCAGGTCCTCCACAAAAGCAGCCAGTGCTCTTAACTACTGAGCCATCTCTCCAGCCCCAGATTTTAGTTTCTTATGTTAACCCAAACTCTTTTTACTGCTGATTTCTAAGCTAATCAAGGTCCTCTTGGATCACAGCAAGGATGAAATATCACACCATGGTAGAAGACAGTGAGATCTAGACCCAGACAGCCCACATCTTGAGCCCTGTTCCACAGCAAGTGAATAGCGAGTGGGGTGAGGCTCTGGCTGATCCTGAGAACATCCTTCCGTTTCCCAACTAGCTTGATATTGAGAGTGGCCAACCAGTCCTAAGTGAGTAGGAAATTAGAGGGTCCAGAGCTTCGCAGAAAGGGAACCCACCACATCGTCTAGGAAAGTACAGGTCCACAACCCTCAGGCTGTGGTGCCTGCCATACAGCTCAAGCTAACTGTACCAACTCCTTCAGTGCTGTCAGTACCTTCCAGACTGTGAACAGTGTGGAAATTTTAAGTAGCTTACTGGTTCCAAGTTTGGAGTTCTTCTTTTAGTATATAAGTTAGTTTGTTAATTAGTTAGCTAGTTGTGAGGAAAAGTTGTATGAGCCAAAGATGAAAATAGGCCTTTAGAACATGTTTTTTTCAGACTGCTCCCTGTCTCCAAGACATGAACAAACTGTTTACTTGCAAAGAAATGTGCTGTCGGCCAGGGAACAGTTATATTCTTTTCCTGCCTATGGTTAAATTATTTGAGTAGCATAAAATTAAAACACCCAATGTAATAGTGAGACAGTTTGACCAAGCATTCGTATTAGATAAAAAGTTTACTGCAGTGCTTTCCTCTCCTCTTGGCATGCTCCCTGCTCCTTAATCAGATCTAAATCGTTTCAAGATTTGCCTTCAGCAGGGCACGTGGGGAATCATACATTTGGAAACAGGCCCACTTGGGTTTCAATCCTGGCACCAGCAAGTACTAGCTGCCCGTTCTCAGCAGAGATGGAAGCTATGGCCTGTACTCTTCCCCCATCCCTTGCTAATGGTTGGAAAGCCCCCTGCCTGTTGGCCCAATGGCCTGGCCTAATATTTGAGTTCTGAAATGAGGCCACCCAAGGGTTCATGAGGAAGGTAGAATTTATGATTATAAAGCTTAGGAGAGGGCATTGGGTGCCCTCTTCTATCACTCTCCACACATGCCTTTGAGGCATGGTCGCTTTCTGAACCTGGGGCATGCATTTTCTCAGCTAGGCTGGAAGACAGTGAACCCCAGCTGTTCTTCTGTCTCCACTCCCCCTCAGAGCTGGAGTTGGTGGTTTGGGCAGGACCCCAGGCTTGCTACCCAGGTGATTGTGCAACAAGTGCTCTTAACCACTGAGCCATTTCTCCAGCCCCTAAAGCTCATCTTTAGTGAGTCAAGAATCTTAAGTTCATACCCGAGGGGGCCCTTTACCCAAACCCAGTTGCTTGAACATCAACTTCTGAGTCTCCATCTGAATGCATTTTGTTTTACTGCTACAGAGAAAGTATTCCTAAAACTTTTAGCAAAGGTTTTGTGATCTCTTGGGTGGAAAGGTGCTATACAAATCACTCCTAAAGAATAGTGCCAAAATTGCTTTTGAAAGAGATAAGTTCCCACAGTTACACACTTAAACCATTTCCTTCATTGTCAGTTTCCACTCAGCATGGTCCCTCACCTATAGCTTCAGTTCCCCAAGCACTGCTGACCCACCCAACCTTGGTATGTGGTGGAACCGACCCAGCCACATTCCCAAGCAAAGTGCTCCTGCCCCTCCAAGTTGTCAGACTTCTGCCCTGAGGTGTTTTCCATCCATGCCAGATTTTGCCTTTTATTTCTGACTTGTGGCAGCTTGTCCCGAGCTCTGGATAAACAGCAAGGATCCATCATTCCCTCTACTGCCTTCACCCAGGACAGGACAGGGCACAGTATTGCCCTAGATCTTCAGAAGATAGGCCTGTCCCTGGTCCACCAAAGCATGCATTCTCTGTTCCACATCTTCTGCTGGCTCTGTAATGGAGGCCTTCAGCCTTTTGCTTGGGTGTGTGGGAGTTGGGGGGTAGGGGAGGTAGAGTTCAAAGCTCCCCCATCAACCTCTGACAGATAGCTGAGTTTAAAGAGGAGGGTTCCTTTGCTCTTACATGTTTCATCTTTAACGTATGAAGTTGATCTTTTCCATAGTGAGCAGTGAGTGCCCAAGAACTGAGTCTCAAAGTAACTCTTGCCTGGTACCCATAGTGGAAAGGTGCCTCAGTGAGTGAGAGTGAGGTTTGATTTGTGTGTGAAAAGACATTGGTTTTGAAGCATGGTGGGAATGCTTCATCTGCTGGGCTCAGAATGCAGGTGGCAATAACTCTGAGGATAATACGGTTAATGAGCAAGCCTCCCCCATTGGGCTGAAGTCAGAGATTTGTGCAGCCTGTGGGATTGGGCTCCAGGGACTCCTGGAGTCGGGGTCCTAGGAGGCAGCTGCACATGTATTCCCAGTGCCTCACTGTGCCCTGTTTCTCTTTCCAGCTTCCCAGTGCAACGTCAGCTTAAAGAAGCAGAGGAGCCGCAGCATCCTTAGCTCCTTTTTCTGCTGCTTCCGGGATTACAATGTGGAGGCCCCTTTACCCAGCAGCCCCAGTGTGCTTCCACCACTGGTGGAGGAGAATGGTGGGCTTCAGAAGGTCAGTGCCGGGCCAGGTCAGAGAAATAGCTCAGTGGTTAAGAGCACTAGCTGCTCTTGCAGAGGACCCATGTCCAGTTCCCAGCATCCACATGGCTAACAACTGTCCATAACTCCAGTTTCAGGGGATTCAACACCCTCTTCTGGCTTCTGCAGGCAAAACATTTGTACACATAAAATATATAAATAAATAATGTTTTAAGAAGGTCAGTGCCTGTGGGAAAGTCTGCACTCTAAAACTGTGAGAGTAGCTTATCTGTTCCATCCTTGACAAATATCCCTCATAAGAGTATGTCACAATGTATGTGTAGTTATTTAAGATTTGAAATATTTTTTTAAGTACTCTTTTCATAAAAGTATCTCAATTGTTCCCATCTAGCACTAAAGGTCATGTATGTGAAGAGGCACTTCACATTTTTATAGCGTTCTCTTTTGGAAATGTAGCGTGTGAGGTAGAGTTAAAGAACCAATAGCAGGACAGACAAAGTGGCTCAGCAGGTAAAGGGGCTTGCCGCCAAGTCTAGGAACCTGCATTCATTCCCTAGGTCCCACATGGTGAAAAGAGAGAATTGACTTCCATAAGTTGTCCACTGTCCTCCACTTACATGTTGTGGGATGAGCATGCCTACATATACATGATACATGTGCACACATGTGCCCACACACACAATAAATAGATGTAATTTTTTTAAAAAACAGAAGCAAACATAGGAATAGAAAGACAAAAGGAAATCGAGACATAGAGAAAAGCAGGCAATAAGCATAACTGCACTTAACTGTATTTTATAATAACAAGGAACATATGTTTAACAAAAAGAACAGTGAAATGGCTGAGGACATAGCTCAGTGGTACAGTGATTGCTGGAGTTAAGGGGAGGGGTTGTCATAATAGGTCAAAACCCAAAATTCAGCCACGGGCTTTCTAACAAACACATCTGAAACCAAGTGACTCAGAACAGTTAAAAGTACAAGGATATGCCAGGCGTAGCGGCACATGCCTTGAATTCCAGCAGAGGCAGGTGGATCTCTGTGAGTTCAAGGCCAGCCTGGTCTACGTAGTGAGTTCCAGGCCAGTGGGGCTATAGGGACTATCTCAAAAAGACAAAAAAAAAAGTACAAGAATAAACAAAGAGACATCATCCAGAAACAGGTTACAACATTAATCAGTCAAAATAGAATTCCAGGTAAAACTTGCTGAAAAGGGCAAAGGATATCGTTCTTTATTTCATGACAAAAATTTGTAATTATGAATGTACAAAGATTTAGCCAGAAGATACTATCCAACATAGCTTATAATGTTCAATGATAGGCAGTTGGTTAAAAGAACTACAGCATAGCCATATAATCACTTGTTGTGGTTAAAAATGACATAGCCAAAAGAATGTCATACCATAAGTATTATTAACATAAAGAAATATTCACAATAGGGAAGGGGAAATGGCTCAGTGGGTAAAGTGCTTTCTGTGCAAACCTGATGACCTAAGTTCAAATCCCCAGAATCCACATAAAAGCCAGACACAGTAGCGCAAGCATCTAGTATCCCAACATAACCCTACTGGGAAGCAGAGACAGGAAAACTACTGTAAACTTACAGGACTGGCATCTTGGCATACACAGCAGTCACTAAGAAGGAGACCCTGCCTCACACAAGGTAGACAATGAGGACTGACTCCCAAGATTGTCCCTTGATCACCACATGTGTGTTATAGCATATGTGCCCCCCCCACGCCATACACACAAAAGAAAAAAAGAAAAATATTCACCATATGTTGTGTAATAAAAAGCAGGCTAAAATATGTGCATGTATACATATCATCACTCTGTTTCACATAGAAGCATTTATACAGTAGATGGGTCATAAGCCAGAATGCAACGAGTCAGGGTTACACAAGTTTTACTCCTCTCTTCTGTCCTTTGCTTTCCCACAACTTGCATAAAATAAGCTTAAATTACCTTTATGATTTAAAAGTACTTATTTAAGAAGCACATGAGAGGAGGGTCACTCTGGGAGAATGACAGCCTGAGCACATAGCTCTGACCATTAGGATTCCTTCTGCATGAACCAAGGTGTGCCAGCTGGGAGAACCTGTGAAGTACACGAAGATACCCAGCTGTCCTGACGTCCTGGGAGAGAGAGCAGATGTAAGACTCAAGCAGGGAACCTCTGAGCCAAAGACAATGATTGTGTTCCCCAAAGTCCAAGGACAGACCTGAAATGTTAACCACCAGCAGGGGCCCATGGACTTCCTTGGAAAGGACTTGCACTACCTACCTGCTCTGTGGAGGCCTTGAAGGAGCTGTGTAGGCGAACCCAGTGGCTTCAGTCCCCATGCCCTGGCTGCTGACAGTACAAGGCTTTCTTTGGTCTCTGATTTCTCCACTGGCCTCTGCTGGTCCATGGAAATAGTGCTCCTCACTGGGTTTGCAGTGGCCCCTCCTTTGCCACTCCCAGAGACCTTGATGGACTGAATGGTCAGGCACTAACAGAGCATACAACCTTGCACAAGCAAAGAAAAATGGCCTCCACTGAAAAGATCCATGTTGAAAAACTCGAACCTGAGACTCCTGGGAAAAAACAGAAGAGAAAAGATGGCCTCCTCAGACAGCTCAGGACAGCCTTTCTATAACAAAGTAACTTGTGGAACTTAAGAATCTCATGCTTCTAAATATAAAATCTCAATAAACAAACAAGGGGCAAAAAGGGAATAGTCACTTCTGAGAACTGAATAAATGTTCTGGAAAAGTAAGTAGAAGAAATCTCTTAGAATTCAAACTGGAAACACAAAGATGGAAATTGTGAGGGAGGAGAAAGAGGCCTCTCGGAGACCCAGCCAGCAAATGGCAGGAGTTCCAGAGGAGGAAAAAGTAATAGCAGGGTGGTGGTGTTTTTTTTTTTTTTTTCTTGAGTGGAAAAAGACAGTTTGCACCTGCAGACTGAAAGAGCCCATCAGCTCTCCAGAGAGACTAGGGAGACAGGAGGGGAATATATGCCCGGATATATGCTGGTGGAATTCTGTAAGTTAGAGAAACAAAGTCTTAGAAGCTACCACAACAAATTTTTATTTGTAGAGAAAAAATTCAGTTAGTGCCAGACTTACTGTCAGCAACAGTAAGGCTACTGAGAAAAAATTACAAAGCGGAAATTCTGTCTGTCAAAGAGCAAGGCTTGGGCTAGGAAGATACTTTTTAAGCCTGAGTACTTGAGTTCAGATCCTTAGTGTGCTGGTTCATTTTTATCAACTTGATACAAACTACAGACATCTGGAAAGAAAGAATTTATTCCATAGAATTGGCCTTGGCCATGTCTGTGAAGCATTTTCTTAATTGGTAATTGATATAGGAGAGCATAGCTCACTATGGACAATGCCATCCCTAGGCAGGTGGTCCTGGGCTGTATAAGAGAAATAACTGTGTCTCTTGTTTTAGGAAGATCAGCTCTTGCTCACCTAGCAGTAATAGTTCCCAATGCTTCTTCTGCTAAGGTTGGGTATGCTGTTCATTTCCCCAGTTCTATGCTGGGTTTTTGTCTGTCTAAGTTTGCATGGGACTTTTGTATGCTGACACCATTGCCGTAGAATCACATGAGCAGGTTCCCAGGACCTTGTAGGACTCTATTTCTATATGGTCATGCACCTCCTCCCTGGCTCTTACAATTTTTCCACCGTGTATTAAATATACAAAAAACTCAATAAAAAAATAAAATTAAAAAAAAACTTTTCCACAGAAAATTCTATATGTGTTTGAGACGATGGACTAAAATTATATTTGAGAGGACCTTAAAATTATAATAAAATACTATTTGTAGTGACCACAAAAAAGGGAGAGAAGTAACTGGGCAAGTCAAGGGGAGCAAGTGGGTGAGCAGCATTCCTTCCTTCATGGTCTGTGCTTCAGTTCCTGCCTCCAGGTCCCTACCTTGAGTTCCCGCCTTGGCTCCCCTTGATTATGGACTGTAACCTGTAAGTCAAATAAACCCTTTCTTTCCCCAAGTTGGTTTTGGTCAGTTCTTTATCACAGCAATAGGAAGCAAAGTAGAACATTCAGCAACCACGTAGAAAGCCGGCATAGTGGTACACACGTATAACCATGGGCTAGACAGAGATGGATCTCTGAAGCTCATTGACCAGCCAGTCTAGCCAAATCAATGAGCTCCAGGTTCAAAATGGAGTGGAAAGTGATCCAGGAAGACACCTGATGTTGACCTCCACCCACCCAATGTACACGTACCCACATGTCCCAATATAGGCACACGCCTACAGAAACATGTACACACATCATACATACACACACAAAGCTAACCTTTATTGGGGTAAAAGAAGTACATTTCAAATATGTAGTTTCGGATGTGGTGGCCCATGCCTTTAATTCCAAGCAGGTGGATCTCTGTGAGATCAAGGCCAGCCTGATCTGCATAGCAAGTTCCAGGCCAGCTGGGGCTACAGGGTATCCCTGTCTTTAAAAAAAAAAAAAAAAAAAAAATCAGGTATGTAATATGTAACGATTCCAAGAAGGGGCAAAAAGTGAAAATTCAGGTGTGACTGATACTCAGTTATAATAAACTTACAAAAAAATATAGAAATCAGTATTACTTAGGAATAATCCTATTCCTCCAGTTACAGTGGAAGGAAAAATGAGAAATTTACAGAACTATTAATGAGCTGTCAAAATTAAGGAAAAGGTAAAAGAATAGATGACAGAGAAACAGAAGCATAGCTTAAAGAAAAACCGTAAAGTTGAGCTTAGTGAACCAGATTCTGCTGACAAATGAACAAGACTGCATCAGATGTTTTGACAAATTCAGCTGTTCACCATTACTACGAACACTCCTGTCACGAGATAAGAGTGATTTGGGCAGCAAGGAAAAGAAAACAAGTTACAGTTTAAACAGAGAGAAGATTCTTTTTCTCACATAAAAACGTTGAGTCTGTCAGGTGCTGGGTTGGCCTAGTTGCCAGTGAGGACACCAGAAATGCAGGCTCCGTGTCATTCCATCTTGGCTTCTTTCTGTTCCCCTTGGTGTGATTTTCTCCTCATCCTTGAAAAGTCCCAAGCTTCAGGCATGAGATCTACATTCATTAGAAGAAGAGGGAGATGGTTGGTCCTGGCCATGTCTGTCTCTTTTATATCAGTGCTTTTATAGAAACCCCAGGAAAGGGAGCTGGAGAGCTGGCTCAGCAGATAAGAGCACTGGCTGCTTTTGCAGAGGTCCTACATTCAGTCCCCAGTGCCCACATGGCAGCTAACAACCATCTGTAACTCTAGTTCCAGGGGATCCAATGCCCACTTCTGGCCTCCATGGGCATTGTACATATGGGTGCACTTACATGCATGCAGGCAAGACATTATATACATAAGGTAAAAATAAATAAGTCAAAAGAATTTTTTTTAAATAGGAGAGTTGTGTCTTTTTGCCAGAACTTTGTCACAGGACTGCCCAGTAGCTGCAAGGGTAGCCTGAAAAGGGAAGAATTCAATCCAGCATATTCCTGCTCTCAACAAAAACAGAGCTTTCACAAAGGGGAGAAGAGGAATGACTAATGAGGAGATGGAGTAATCAGCATGAGTTTTGTTGGGCTTTAGTAACAACCTTAAAACTTAAGAAACATCCAGCCTAGTCTACATAGAGAGTCCAGGCCATGCAGGGCTACATAGTGAAACCCTGTATATGAAAACATTTTAAAAGCCTAAGAAACTTGCCAGGTATAGTGATACACACCTTTAATCCCAGCACTCAGGAGGCAGAGGCAGGAGAATCTCTGTGCAATTGAGGCCAGCCTGGTCTACATATGGAATTCCCGACCAGCTGGGGCTATAGGGAGACCCTGTCTCAAAAAAAAAAAAAAAAATAATAATCATTGCTACGGGGCCAGTGAGATGGCTGAGAAGGTAAAGGCACTTGCTGCCAAGCCATACAACGTTAGTTCAATCTCTGGGACCCACATGGTGGAAAGAACCAATCCTGCAAGTTGTTCTCTGATCGCCACGCATGAGCCATGGTGTACACACACACACACACAAAATAAAAATATTTTAAAAATAAAATAGATTTTTAGCTTTTTCGACAGCCTCCAGGGATAAGTATGCCAGTCACCATTTATCAAAGAAACATCTTTTGCAACAGAGTCTAGTACAGAATTCCGCAACTGGTCACACACAGAGAATAAGTGTCTGTAAGATACCCAACCCTAAGTGACATATCTACAATGGAGCATCTACTCCTAAGGCTCACGGAACATAGTGGAACAAGGGGTAGAGAGAACACCAATGCATCGCTCAGTTCTCATCAGTGAAACTTCCTCATGCAGCAGAAGGCAATGAACACAAAGGGCCACGAACAGCCAAAGTGTAGAGAACAAAAGTCTGCAGAGTGTAGGTCCCTAGGCAGGACTCCTCTATTAAATTTTACCCACCCAGGACTCGGGGACCATTGATGGAAAGGAGTGGAGAGAGGATTGAAAACTAGGGGAGGAAGTACATGACCAGAGGGAAACAGGAGGCTCCTGGGACCTTGCTCATATGAACTTAGAGCAGTGGTATCAGCATGTACAAGAGCCATGCAAACTCAATCAGACAAAAAACAGTGCAGAACTGGGGAAATGGGCAGCAGGACCCGATCTTAGCTGAAGAACTATTGGCAACTGATTACTGCTGGATCAGAGAGAGCTAATCTTCTTTAAGGGAGAGAGTCTAGATAAGCTAACTAGACCCCAGTGGATAAACTTGCAATGAGAGATGTCTGGGTACACTAACTTGACTTGATGGGCCTTAACATATATGAAAGAATGCCTGAAATCAGTGGGGGAGGGCTATAGGGGGTATGGAGAGGGAAGGGGGCATAAAGATGATTAAAATGTTTTGTATGAAATATACAAAAATTCAATTAAAAATATATATTAAAAACAGATTTTTAAAAAATCATTGCCATGGAGAAGTGCCCTTAGTGAAGGCCTGCAACAGAAAGAAGTAAACAAGGAGAGAATACTGTTCTCATCATCAGTTATTTCAAAATAGTATATATCTCGATGAAAGGGCTTCAGGAAATGCCCATCCCCCAGGCTTCCTGGAGTCCTCAGCTGTCTCTCTATGGAGATAACACCTTTTAAAGGCATCCCTGTGGAAGAACTGGACTTGCTTGAATTGCATGTTCATTCATGGGCCTCCTTCTATGAACATTAGTCAAAATGGCTTTTTAAAGAATTCTGTTGCTTTAACATAGTTTAATCTGAAGTGGGGATGTTATTTAGTCCATGAGACCATGTAGAAGGATAGCTAATTCCCAGAAGACCCTCTGCCCCTGCCCCTTGACTAAGCCCCACCAGTACTCACAGAACACAAAGCCCAGGCCCAGATGTAGAAGTAGACTTTAGGCCTGCCTCTACCCACTCTCCAGGGTTCCCTGCCTCTCCTGACTCAGCATGACAGAAGAAAGAAGACTGGACAGAGTGGGCCAGATACCATTCAACCTGCGCATTTGCTTTGCCCTGGAAAAAATGAGGATTTGGAGTCCTTCTCATTCCAACTGCTTCTGCAGCAGTGCTTTGAGCTGATAGTCACTGGAACCATCTCAGCTACAGCCTGGACCAGAAGGCAGCAGCCTCCAGAGGCTAGGAGGAATCAATGCCCAGAAGGCTTCAATGGCAGAGACCATGGAGGACCGCTGAGAGCTAGGACAGCATAAAAGGGATTGCTGGAAACACAAACACACACACACATACATACATACATACCCCATACCACATATACACACCCCAGACACAATACATGTACATACCCCATACACACACCATACATTCACCTACCCTATACATACATCATACACATACAGTACCCTATATACATACATTCACATACCCCATAATATACATGCATACACCCACATGTGCACATACATACCCCTTACGCACATACGCATATACCCCATATACATGTACACAGAGCCACATACACACCAAGCACATACCCCCATACACATACATGCACATACCCTAAACACATACATGCACACACCCTATAGACACACATACCCCATACACATACCCATGCATACCCCTTACATATACAATACCCATATACATACATTCACATAGTCCATACATGCACACACATGCATACATGCACATGTGTACGTGCATACCATATGCTCATACCCTGTACACATACAGACATGCATACACACATGTGCAGTCTTCACACCCACATGACTGTGTGGCACAGCACCTCTATTTGCTGATTGCCGGTGTTTGGTCGAGCCCTTCAGATGTGTTCTTGTGGTCTCTCTCATCATGAATACACTCACCTCATCAAAGGTGTGCTTCTGCAGCTGCACCACTGTGTAGGGGCTCTGTGGTCTCCCACTAGAATAGAGCTTTCCAACACAGTTTTACCCTCCAAGAGCATTTGCAATGCCTAGAGACATGTCACAGGCCAGAGATGCTGCTGAACTTTGTGCACTTAGAGGACATGCCTCATGGCAGTTATCTGGCTCAAAGTATCACCACTCTCAAGTGAAGTGGCTCAGCAGGCTTAGGAGCTTCTGGTTACAATCTCCCCCTCCAAGGGCGGTGTGTACTCCTGAGTCCAGATGTTAGAAACAATAGAATTCAGAAGGTTCTGGAATGAAGTTCTCTGCACAAGTTCTTGAACACTGGGATTTGTTTAGCATGTACTGTCATTTTGGAGAGCAGCTCAGCCCTGAATAGTACAGACAGGCCCCAAGTCTCCTGACAAAGGATAAAGCCATCAAGGTCATCATAAAAGAAAGAAGAGATTGCTGTTACACTACAGGGGTGATGACTAAGGGCCAGAGATCACCAGGAAGTCCCTGTGTGGGTCTTAGAGACAGAGCAGAAGAGCAGAATCAACCTCAGAGGTGCCACCCATCAGAACTGGCCTTCACATGAGATCCTGACCCTGGCGACCACCTCAGTACCCATAAATGAATCTTTTCACAAATCCTTTGATTTCAAGACATGAAGCAGTATCTCACCGTGTCAGACCATCGGAAAAGAAAGAAATACAGAAAATAGAAGCACTCAGTAGAAATGAATTTGCTCTTGTATTAGCATTTGTCAGTGCTGCAATGAAGTGTTTCTAACGAGGTTTGGAATCACTGGCATTCGGGACTAGTTGAGGCCCTTCCTTGGGGCCTGAAATTTCTTAACCCTTGCAATGAATACAGATTCTGTTTCCCTTAAAGGGGAAAAAAAGCCACTGTCTGGCCTGGGAGGGAACTTCTTGTACCTTGCCCTGTCCCCTCTTCCCGCGTCCTCTCCCAAAAGAGGACCTGGAATGGTCAGGTGTTTCCTGTAACCTGATAAACTTGTCTCCCTTCCCCTGTACACCACACTGGCATTGTCCTTTTAGGGGCAAAAAATTACTTAAAACAAGAAACAAGCTGGTGATTAGGAATGGGAACAAAGTCTGAGTGTACTTTTTTGTTTTTAAATTAAGAGTCAGATTCTTGGGAGTAAGAAAGGCACTGTTTGCATAAACAAGAAGACTGTGAGCCTCAGAAGCCCAGTATGCCTGTCCCAGAGGGGTCTGGAAGGCAGCATAAGGCCACTGCCCTCCCTCCTTGGAAGGCCCTAGGCTTCCTCAGCTCGCCAGCCACCACCAGGGTGCAGAGGGTGGGAAGGCCATTGCAGGGTTTGTACTCAAGAGGCCTTGGAAGTTTCTGTTGAGATGTGATTCTTTGCCTTCAAACCTGACAATCTTTTTTCTTCTTTCTCCTCAGGGTGACCAGAGGCAGGTCATTCCCATTCCAAGTGTATGTATCTTTATCCCATTTTATTACAAAATAACATTTGTAGAATCTGTGCCTTCAGGCCCACTCACATGTGAGAGGTTTTTCAATGTTCTTGTTGAGTTTTATCATGTATAAGCAACTCTGTTCTGATAAAAAGAAAAATGAAGTTACAGTTTCAACTGTGAGCAGGGAGTGCTGTGACAGGCACTTTCCCAGGAACAAGACATAGCTTCATCAGTTTACCTAGTTCCCACTTCTTTTCTCCCTTACCTCCTTTCTTCCTAGAAGAGCCTCCCATTTGCAATACACTGAGGTGACATGGATCCCTCACCACCACCCACCACAGTACCCATCACAGTACTATAGCCCCAGCTCCACAAACAGAGAAAGCACCACAGATTTCCCAGACTTGGCTCTCTAGGACAGCTTCTGTCTTAATGGAACTGGACTCACTATGCCTAGGGCCCAGGTGACCAGACCATTTCTACCCTGATTAGACTGCTTGAACTTGCAGGACTTATCCCACCCTTCAGGCCAGCTCTGCCCCAGCTGGGCCACCCCACTTACGTTTTCTGGGACCCACTGCTTGTTCTCATCCCCCTGCTCAGCCTGTAGTGCCACCAAGCCTCAGGCCATACAGCAAACAACAGCTGGGGTCCAACTTTCCCAAGGATCTTACAGTTAGATACCCCTATCAAAGAAGTCCTTCCAAACAGTACCATGTCCTTAGGGAAGGATTTTGTTCCAAAAACAGGTCCATAAATTGGTGTTTTAGTCTATAAAGATTATCTGATTGAGATTATGGGTTTCACATCTGTTCGTTTATCTCTGACATACTTTCTGGAACATCCAGGAGACAGAGCAGACCTGCACTGAATACAGGGTTTCATGAGTTCAGGTTGACTGCAGAAGCTTTGGTAATACAAGTCACTTGCAATGGGCCCCAAAAGATTTTGATAATTTATTTTTCTCAAAACTTAAATTTCCGTTGGTTATGCCTGGGAAAAAGATTGATCGAGCAGTGGGACATCTTAGCCAATGTTTGAAGGGGATACCTAGCAGGCTTAATACCAGAGAACGTCCTTTAACCTTATAAAAAGTACTTTTGTACATTTTTCTTGCACAAGGGCCTATGTTAAATAGGTGCAGCATCTGTCGCCTCCTTCCCTTCCATGTCACTACTTTTATTTTCCCCCCAAAGATAATTCACGGCCATCTGTAAAGTTAAGTGCAATGTATTTGCTGGCCCATATAAACCCTCCTGAGGAAACTGACCCTTTTTCCCACAGATCTAGGCTCAAACATATACAGAATTCCAACATAAAATAACAAGGAATTATGTACATTTATCTCAGTGTCAGATCAATAAACTGCTGGCTGTCTCCTACATGTACAGCACTGGGTCAAGCCACAAAGCTTAGAACTGTCTTGCAGAAAAGCAGCACCTGGCTGGAAAAAAATGCACCTTTATTTTGGTTTTGGGTGGTTTTTTGTTTGTTTTGCAGTTTCTGAGAAGTGAACTCAGGAAGGACCTTGTTCATCTTAAACAAGCACTCTTCCACTGAGCTGCTTCCCCAGGCAGGCCCCCAACTTGCATCTTTAAATGATAACCACCAGAACACATAAGCAGAGCTGCTGTTCTAGTTTAATCCAGTCTGGAGTTTACCATGCTGCCATCTGCATTAGGCCTTGAGATCTCAGCCCTCAACTCGTAGCTTGCAAAGCAGTGAATAGACCCAGAGAAATTTTAACAAGAATAGTACTAATTCAATTGGTGAGATTTATGAGGGTCTGCAGGAAATTTCAGACTTATTCCCAGGAAGAGGACTGGAATATCGCTCTCGGACTTTGGGTGGCAAGCCATGGTCCCTTTGCTCCTCCCAACCTGCCACGTTTCTGCACCGCCCTCCCAGCCCCCTATGTGCATTTGAGTAAGTAACTTTGTATAGAAAAGGCCGTCCTTATCAGGTTTGGTGGCATATGCTTGTAATCCCAGCATCAGGAGGACTGAGAGTTCTAGGCCAATCAGGATTAAATGGCCAGTGAGGTTGACTCAGTGAGTAAAGGCACTTGCTGCAAAAATCTGGTGACTGAGTTCAGTCCCTGGAACCTATATTAATGAGGAAGAGAGAACAGCCTTTGCAAAGGCCCTCTGACCACCACATGTGTGTCATGCATAATATATGCATGCCATGACACATATGCCCACATACATCATATGTAATCACACACATAATAAGAATAATAATCATTAATTTCTTAAAAGACTTGCCTGATCATGCAGGCCTACAATTCCAGCTATTCAAGAGGCTAAGGCAGAGCTGCAGTGATGAGTTCAAGGCCAGCCTGAGCACCTTAGTGAGACCTTGTCTCAAATTTTAAAAAGTATAGAATGCTTACCTTGCATATATGAGTTCCCAGGTTCTGTCTACAGTACTGTAGAAAACAAATAAGGCCCTTCTTGACATAACTTGTTTCTCTTATCCCTGAGGTTTCCTGTAGCCTCAAAGAAAATTTGGTTGAGCACATCTTTGAGTTTACCATTCAAGATCAGTTAAGTAACAAAGCACTATCGCAGTATCCTTGCATGGCCAAGGACATTCTGTCCAGAGGTCTTAGCAGTGCACTGAGGGATTTGCATTCATCCAAAGGAGGCACTCTGAGAAGCTATGTGCGTTTAGGAAATAGGCCTGGAATTAATGGACCGCCCCCTTTCTCACTGCCTCCCCTCACCCCAGCTTTATTTTCAGCAGCAAAATCAATAGCTTAGCAGGAGTCTCACCCTTCCTGATCTTTTTCCTCTCTTACATCATTCAATGGGAGATATGGGGTTTTGTTTGTTTTGTTTTGTTTTGTTTTTGCTTTTAACTCAGAATGCTTGTAAAGTGTAGGTTACATATGCTAAGAAAGAAATTTTCAGTCTTGGGTTTGGAAAATCACTGAGCCACTTTTGGCAGATCTTTGATGTTTTCAGATCTGCTAGGGACAGAATTTCTACATCCTTATTTTCCAAGCTAGCAATTAAATGATTTAAGTTAAAAGTGATGTTTTAGTAGTACATAAAAACAAAAGGGAAGATCTGGCTAGATATAGGCTAAACTAATGGGAGGGATAGAAAAGGGAAAAGTTCTCACCTGTCTATATTTTTCACAGTGAGAATGTCTTTCTTACATAATTGTATAATAAAATCAAAACAAACTTTATCCTGATCATATGCATACTTTCTGCTGTGGCCCAAAGAAAGAAAGAATTCCACATCTCTTGGTTATATTCACTTACAGAACTGACCCACCAACAAATTACAACCCTGTCCTTTAAAAACCCATTTTGATACAAAAGTTCTTGCAAGTTTAATTATTTTTAGTAATCTGCTGACTCACTAGTTTATAATGAGGGAAGGAGTCCCTTCTCAGTCCCTGAATTCCATCAGGCTCCAGGGCATATCCCTAGCCTCTCTTGCCAGTACCAGAGGGCCAGGGAAGACTATAAGCCAACTTTGGAGCTGAGAAGTGGAGCCTTCAGGCTTCAGTACAGACCCCTCCCCCATGGTTAGGAGAGCTTAGGTCACCTCCTCTTGTACAGACCCTCTGCTAGCTAAGTCATCATGGTATCTGTCTCTTAACCTTCTGACTGTGGTTTAAATTCACTGTTGAATAAGCTAAAGTTAAAAAAAAATTTTTTTTTTCAGTACTGGGGATTAAACTTAATGCTTCATACGTGCCAGGGCTCTATCGCTGAGTTATATCCCCAGCCCACTTTCTGCTTTGAGGCAGGGCCTCACTAAATCAGCCAGCGTGGCCGTAAACTCACTCTGTAGCCCAGACAGGTCTTGAACTTGGGCTTCTGCCTCAGCCTCCTGAGTAGCTGAAATTACAGGATGTACCACCAGGCTCAGCTTCAAAATTAATTTTTGGTCATTAGCTAGTGTTCAATAAGAAAAAGAACTGGCCAGTGAAAAAAAATATTCCTGACTTCATGTTATGTGTTCTTGTCTTACTTGAAAAACTAAATTGTTCGTTCTCCATTGGCTTAAGTCTAGATGTTTACTTTTTTTGCATCAAATATTAAACGGTTTGAGCAGGAAAAAAAATTAGGTAGTTAACGCTAGACACTGAATATACTTCAGAGCATTTCTGGAATGGGGCAACCCAAGACATAGATACTCAAAACAGAATGGGCTGGCTGAAAATATGGAGCATCTTATTAACTCTTTATGACTTCATCACAAGATTAAGTTGGCTACTACAAAGACAGATTTTTCTGGTTAACACAGTACACAAATTAAAGTCTGCCTATCGGAAACAAAGAATCCAAGGGAGGCAAATACCCTACTCATTCAATCTGTCTATCACAACAGGGCAGGCAAAGGGCAGAAACTGTACCCAGACGAGTTTTATTCTCATTTCCTCTCTTGAAGGGTAACTTTTGGTTGTGATTTATTGGTGGGTTTACAGTTTCTCTTCAAGTGTTTAAAAATGTCAGTCACCCACATGGCAGCTAACAACTGTCTGTAACTCCAGTTCTAGGGGATCCAGCAGCTTCTTCTGTCCTCCACGGGCATTGCACGACATGGGTGCACTTACCTACATGCAGGCAATACACACATACTCATAAAATAAAAAAATAAATAAATAAAAATGTCAGTCACAAGGGCTGGAAAGATGGCTTAGCAGTTAGGAACACTTACTGCTCTTACAAAGAGCACCACGTTGGGCAGCTCACAACTGCCTCTAACTCCAGTTCCAAGGAATCCAGCTCCTTCTGGCTTCTGTGGGCATCTGTACACATAATATACATACAGACAAGCAGTCACATACACACAAATAAAAATGTCAGTCACCAAAGAAGAAAGAAAAAAATATGAAGATCCAAAATAGCTTTGAAGTTTCCTGGCATGTCACAATGAGTTTTAGGCAAAATATGACCCAAGGAAATGGACCTGTGAGGTCAGGATAGTATTATAATAAACATTCATTCTTACACAGTCCATTTTAACAATAATGATAGCATATCAGGCAAGACACTGGGTATTATTCTGCCATTATAATTGATAACATCTACCTTGCATGGAATTGTTATTATTTCAACTTATGACACATACACAAAATACCAGAGCTGATAATCAACCCAGATTTGATGCCAAAGCCCAGACCCTCAGAGCAGTCAGTTATATAGCAGCATGGTCTCGGCTGGGTAAAACTTCAGTTGCATGCTGGGTGTGATGGTGCACACCTTTAGTCCCAGCACTTGGGAGGCAGAGGCAGGCGGATCCCTGTGAGTTCAAGGCCAGCCTGATCTGCATAGTGAGTTCTAGGCCAGCTGGGGCTATAGGGAGATCCTGTCTCAAAAAAAAACAAAAAAAAAAAACTTCAGTTGCAGACTATATATTGCTATTGTTCTTAGTAAACTTACATAATAAGCTTGATCAGGCCTTTAAATGTTTGCTTTTATTTATAGCCTCATTAACATAGTATTACATAATGGGAGAATTGGTTCAACTCTTACATTGAGTTAGTAGTAATATTGATATGTATTTTTTCCTCGTTTAGCCACCAGCTAAATACCTCCTTCCAGAGGTGACGGTGCTTGACTATGGGAAGAAATGTGTGGTCATTGATCTGGATGAAACCCTGGTGCACAGTTCATTCAAGGTAAATTCCACATTCAGGATCACTTGAGGTCTTTGGGACTTCATCACCATTGTATTGAAAAGGAAAATTGGGGGGCTGGGGAAATGGCTAGGTGCTTAAGAGCACTGGCTGCTCTTGCAGAGACCCAGATTTGGTTCCCAGCACCCACATGGCCACTAACAACCATCTATAATTCCAGTTCCAGGGGATCTGATGCCCTCTTCTGGCCTCCACAGGCATTATACATGTGTAGTATACTTACATACATGCAGGCAAAACACTGATATACATTAAAAATAAATAATTTTTTTTGTCTTTTTGAAACATGGCATCCCTGTAGCCCCAGCTGGCCTGGAACTCACCATGTAGACCAGGCTGGCCTTGAACTCACAGAGATCCGCCTGCCTCTGCCTCCCAAGTACTGGAATTAAAGGCATGTGCCACCACACCCAGCTTAATAAATCATTTTTTAAAGAACAGGAAGAATTTTTTAAGGGATGAAAACTTGTAGCACTTAAGTCTGTGACTTCACTCCTCAGGAAGAAATCTCAGCAACAACTGCTCCTTTAACCCAGGTGAACATTAATTGCACTAGTTGAATATTTACATATTAGGAAAAGAAATGGCTGGATGGCTGATAATCATTGAGACCTCATTTTTCCTTGAGATCTGGGCTTTTCTACTCTAATCCCTATAGAAATGCTTTCAGGTGACACAGGCAATCTGTGTCCTGGGATGTGACATTTGTCAAGGTTCCTAGAATGCTATGTGTTTTATTGGGTGGGGTGGGGGAGGTATTATTGGAAACTGTCAGATTGCCCTGCTGTCCTGGAAATGTTCCCAGATCAATTTTTGAATGATGTCCAGCTCTTAAGCCGCCTTCCAGAGTTAGTGGCATCTCAGTAGGTTGGGCCATTTATTCTAACCATGCATCAAGTCTAAGTGACTGCCTATGTTCACACCTCCTCTCTCAGGGGGCCTCCCTGCAATAATGGCAAAGTGAGTGTCAGAGTCTTTCTGATCACTTTCCCCCTCTCCATCTTGTTACCAAAGCCAGCCAGAATGGCAGAGAGCCTCCATGTAGGAACAGCACTGACCACACTACTAAGATTATGAGTTAATTCACCTTGGCTTCTTTTTGGAAGTGGAACAAACTGTTTAAAAGAGGCAAATGGTGGAAAAGTTTAGAAATAAGGAATTGATGTGTTGGGAGAAGCAGCAGGCTTTAAGATCCTGATCTGATTTCCCTGGGTTATTTCTGGCACTGAAACCACCCTGCTGTCACTGACCAGTTACACTACATTCCTTTTTTGGCCCCTGCCTGGGACTCTTCTTACTTCACTGAGAGATGTGAAGTCGCCATCAGTGATGGGTGAGATTTCTTACCTAAGCCCTTGTAATTCCTGGTAGGTCATACAGCAAGAAAAGCCATCAAATTTCCCTGACACCTTCCTGCCAGAAGCCCCTACCTTGTGCTTCCTTCTCACTGAACAGAAACCAACCTTGACAGGACAAGGCCAGGAATCTATCTTTGAGTGCTTTGAAGAGTAGATAACCTACCACTGGCCTTTAGCAGCAAGAAGTGGCCTTATTCTGGCCACTGGGGCATGTACGACCACCTTATTACCAAGCATTCCAAGCATTGGGCTCTTCCAGGGTTGGTCCTGGGGCCACAGTGGTCTTATATCCAACCTTAGCTCTAGATGGCATTACAACATTTTCTCCAGTGAGCAAGTGGCTCAGGGCTTCAAGCCCTTCAGAGCAGAGGTCAGTTACTGTAACAACACAGAGAGCATCCTCTCAAGCAGCTGTGGGGACAGCTCTGGCCAGACTGCTCAAGATTACTGGCTGTAAAGGCAGGACCTTGGCAGTCCCTGGTGTCTCTGGGGCCTGTTCAGAGGGCATGGCTGCCTCAAGCTGTGAACAGAATTTACTCATTTCTTCCCTCCCCTGGCCTGGATACTTTTTTTATTTTTTATGTGTTGTGTGTGTGTGTGCGTGTGTGCGTGCGTGCGTGCGTGCAGGTGCATGCATGCTAGGGTGCTCATGTGGGGGTCGGAGAACAACCTTTGAGAGTTAGTTCTCTCCTTCCACTATGGATTCCAGGGATTGAACTCAGGTTATCAGGCCTGAGTGACAAGCCCTTTTACCCACTAGGCCATCCCTGTTTTCTGAGCCATCTTGCCTGCTCTGGCCTGGCTACTTCTGCAAGTAGAATATTCTTTATGGTTTTTAATATTCTGGCCATTTCAAAGCCTTTTGGGAATGCAAAAGCTCTGAACCCTTCCCTTGAAAATGTATGGCTGTGTGACACAGGCTCATGGACCTAAGTGAAAAGCCCTGGCTTTGGCATGGCTTCCATCACTCCAGCGCATGAGAGATTGGGGGCCTGCTTTGAAGCTGGGGGGTGATTTTCCTCTTTTAATATACTCTGAGGAATATGATTCCATAACCCAATGCCTTATAAGAGTTTCTTCCTTCATTCTTTCTTTTTTTTTGTAATTCTGTATTTCAGTGATAAAATTATGAAATCTTGGGGCTAGAGAGATGGCTCAGCTGTTTAGAGCACTGACTGCTCTTGCAGAGGACCCGGGTTCCATTCTCAACACCCACATGACAGCTACGAACCATCCTTAACTCCAGTTCCAGGGGAATCCGAAGCCCTCTTCTGACCTCCACAGCATTGCACTACATGGGTGCACTCATATACATGCAGGCAGTACACTCATATACATAAAATAAAAATAAATAAAATATGTTTTTTAATTATGAAATCTTGAGCTCATCCCTTGCCTTCCCACCCTGGCCTGGGAGCAAATAAAACAATGATCTTAAGTCTCAGCAGCACTCCTGCACTGAGCACATAGTAATGGGGCTATAATCTACATATACCACACTGTTCAGGTTGCATGTCCAAGAAAATTGTGTTTGCACATATGCCCTGATGGGCTTAAAGGTAGACCCGGTTCACAGTCTGACCAGAGGCCCTGCACCCCCACCCCTACCCAATGGCCACATATGCCTTCCTTTTCCCTGTGGGTCTCTCCTCTTGCTCACATGTTTGCAGGATGATGGTTCTGCTAGGCCTGTTCCCTAAAGTGGTATTCTAACTTGTGAAATTCCATGTAGAACTACATGTAAGTCTGTCATTGAGATGCTGATGACTGCTAGAATCATATTTGATTTTTTTTTTTTTTTTTTTTTTGGTCTTTTTGAGACAGGGTCTCCCTGTAGCCCCAGCTGTCCTGGAACTCACTATGTAGACCAGGCTGGCCTTGAACTCACAGAGATCTGCCTGCCTCTGCCTCCTGAGATCCGCCTGCCTCTGCCTCCTGAGTGCTGGGATTAAGGCGTGCGCCACCACACCCAGCCATATTTGATTTTTAAATGTGCTTAATACTATCCAAGAGTTACGTTAAGTATCTTGAAAGTTGTGGATATGCTGGATGTTGTGTTTCTTAGAGCAGGAAAATTGAGAGAGGCTGGTCGTCCCCCACCCCCAGAGCAGGAAACTGTGCCAGGCCACCAGGCAGGGCCTGGGATCACTAATTCTCAAGTCCAGATGGAGCCTTGGTTACCCATCAGACCCATCACTATGGCAGTGGAAGAGAGCAGACACTGAAGTCCATAGGGGAAAATCTGCCTGAGGTCTTGACCAGTGGCCTCTGGCTTCATGCCTGCAGTGGGTGCCTGTGCTGAGCATCTCCTGCCCAGCCACCCACACTATGGGTCAATCCAAATTGCTTTCCCAGTGGCACTGACTGCTGACTGTCAGGCTTTCATCTCCGCCTCCTGGTGGCCAGCAGTGGTTCCCCTCTTCCTGTTTGGGCTCCTGGGCACGGACTGAAGTCTCTGAGGAACCCCATTCTCTCGCCAGGCTGTGCCACCCTTTGTGGTTGAGGCAGGCAGGTGACCAAGAGGTTGGACCAGGACGCTGAAAACGTCACGACATTCAGAACAGAAAAGAATGTGCTTTCCTGCTTGTGCTTATTTCAAGGAACCAAGCCATACCTCAACATCCTTCTCCTGAACTGTTTTTTCCAATTATCAAAACATTGGTCCAGGCAAGCTTTTTTCTTGCTAAAATTTCCAATTTTCTCTTGTTGTTTCAGATGTATTAATCACAGTTTCTCTTCTCTCTAGCCTATTAGTAATGCTGATTTTATTGTCCCGGTTGAAATCGATGGAACTATACATCAGGTAAGAGATCAGAGCTAATGAATTTCAGTGAGCATTTTTCTCATCATGACATTCCCTGTGAATTTCATTTCTAAATTCTCATTTTGGTGATTATTTTATTCAAGCCAAAGAAAACAGACATCATATAATAAATATAATTATTTTCTGCTTCTTCCACCCCACCCCATGTGTGCGCTCGTGTGCACAAACACACACACACATGCACATACTTATATTTGTTTAATACTGACTTTATAAGGAGCTGCATCCATTCATAAATATCAGATGTGTTTGTAAGTTCATATACTTCTTTGATTTGATTTAGACTTTCAGAAGTTTCTATGCTCCCTGTTGACCTAGTTTAACATCTAATTAACTTCCTCGGGTAACTGCTTTGGGCTACTTTCCTAGCAGGCAGCAGGAAAATGCCACCAGTCACCCACTTAGGTTGGGTTCTTGGGGGAAAATGTCCATGCCAACTGCTCCAAACTGGTCTTGTTGCTCCCACATGATTTTCTCTGCTGATTTTCCCCAATGAATTCTTAGCAAACACTCAACCCTAAAGCAAAAGAGGGAAAGGATGTGCTGAAATCAGCAGGCTATGAATAAAGATGTCGTCGTTAGTCAGCGTGCATCTTCCTTCTTTCTGGTTTGTTTTTTCCTTGTCAGCATAAAACTCTTCTGGAAATAGCTTCCTTTATGAACATATTAGATACATTCTAGAAAAACTAGCCTTGGAGGTTAAAGTTGGGAGAAATTTTTGTCATGTTCTCCTTAGGGATGATGGGACTATATTCCCCATCAACTCCAAGGTCTTAAGTGGGGAGAATATCTGGCCTCAAACCCAGGAAGGAAAACCTCTTAGCACTTGGGCCACACAGGATGTTATTCCTTAATGATGTCAGTGAGGCTCCTTGGCTCTTGAATCCAGGTCTGGGAAGTCAGCTGTTCTGGCCACAGATGTTCGTTGCCCATATGGGGAACTGAAGCTTCTAAAGTTAGGGAAACCATTGGCTCAAAATCATACAGTGGAAAGAATCAAATTGAGAATTCCTGTCTCCTGGGCCAGGACTCTTCCTGAGACTTAGTTCCCCAGGTCCCCCTTCCCCAACCTTGCTTTCTAGCCTATTCTCTAGGAGATTCTGACAGAAGCAAGACCCAGGAAGAGTGGCTTCATCCCTAGCCTCTCCACACTTCATGCTTTCAAAAGCCATCATAGAGCCAAAACCACAGGCACCCAGGCATGTAACATTTGCAAAAGCATCCACTGAATTAACTCAGCACCCAAGAAGCAGTTAAGCCTTCCCCACTTATTATTTTGGCTTGAGTTGCAGAGTGCTCAAGATGAGACACTGGAGATCTGCCCAGTTGGCATGGCAAGCGTTAGGAAAAGGAATTAATCCTTTTCACCATGTGACTGAGCATGACCAGCCTACAGGAGCCACCCCAGCTCTCTCAGCGCCCTGACTGTACTGATTCATTTGACAATAGCTACCCCAAGGCCCCACACTGGGGTCAGAAACTCCTGAGGGAAGAAAGCCACAGGTGCGAAAATCAGGAGGACCCAGGCCCTGGCGAAGGTCGTGGCCTCGTTCAAGTAATCCAGGATAGGCTGTGCAGGTCCCAAGGGGCCTATTCTTGGTTACTTGCACGAGGACGCGGGCCTGGATGCCAGCATCTGGGCCCAGGACCCTCCTCTCTGCCAAAGGCACCAACACCCAAGGTCCCCAGTAGTCTCCTGCATGTAGCCAAGCTTGGTTTCCAAGCAGTATTCCCAAGGACACAGGACCGAAGGCCACACCTATTCACTGGCACCTGCGCCAAGGAGTATTATGGGCACAGTGGGGGGCCTGGAGCTGCTTGCTGCAGCCACACCTCTGCCCTCAGCCCTCTCCCAGCATCCTAGCTCCTCAGAGTCTTGTTGGTACCCAATCTAGACCACCCCTATTCCTCCAGCCCTTCCCTCCACCCTCAACCACAGAGCCACTCTTCAGCTAACTAGGGATTTTCCCACCAAGTCTGGCCCTCCTCAATGCCTGTTTCCTGGCATGCTGAAAAGCACTTGTTTCCATGTGGAATTCCTCTGCTCGTAGTGTGTTCTTGCATGTGGCACAGTGCATCTTATCTTCCCCTGTGCTGCTTCTGCAGCTTTCGCGGACCTGCTCCATCTGCTGTTCTGAGACCCTGTGTGTGCTTACTGCCACGGTAACTCATCACCTTCAACTGCCTCTTCCTCTGTCCAGTCTTCTCTCTGGTAGGCTGGGAACACAGGCTCTGGCCCAACACCCCACACCATGTGTTTTCAAGCCTCTGGGTCTCATGCTTATACTTTGTTCAATCCAGAAACTCAAGGTCAGAACCAGCTGTTACTTTCTATGATTCCCTCCTCTGGAAAAAAGAATTGATTGTCTTTAATGTTTCCCCCTACTGTGAGTTTTATTATATCATGTTTACTTTTACACGTGTCTGTAGGTGTGTGCTCTAGACTGTGAGCCCCGCAAGGGCAAGGCCTGGGTTTGATTCATCTCTGTAAGTGCACTAGGCTGAACGCAAAGCTGCAGCTTGGTAAATATGTTGAATTTTAAAGAGTTTGGTTTATTTTAGTGTGCTAATTTCAAATGGAATTTATTCAAGTTTTAATTGGTTCCTCCCTCTTCCCACTTCCTCTCCCCAGCTTTGCTTTTTCTCCCAGCTCCCTCAGATTCGTTCAGGCTCCATAGACAAGAGCCTCCATGTGAACTGAAGCCAGGCAGCCTTGCAGTCCTGCCTAGCCTGGCCAGAGAGCCCAGATGTTGTAGAAAAGGCTACTCCTGCTTGCAGGCCCCTAGTGGTGGGTTTGTGGGTCTCAGGAGGAGGCTGGCTTCACAACTTTAAAACATCTGTACCCCCACATAGCAGAGTAACCTTTATGGTCCTTCCCCAGCTGGCAAGAAAGGCCTCTTTTACAGTTTTGCTGGGTCTGTCTTTAACTCCTCTCCCTCTAACCAAGGGGAGAGGAGGTTCCATTTAGAGTTGAAGGTGGCAGCCAGGGCAATCCCTTCCAAGCAGCCAGCCAGGTCCAGACTTCCAAAAGAATAGCACCCAGCCCACAACCTGAGTTCACACAGAAGCTGACACACAGTTGGTACCAAAAAGCACATGTGGGATGAATGAGTGGTTTCACCCACACATGGCACAGCCACTCCACTTGCTGACTCCAAAGGTCCCCAAGATTCTTGATACCATGGCTAGCTTTCCTTTTTCCCTTAAAAGGGTTGTCTACACCAACTGAGACCTGGAACCTGCATCTGACTCTCCAGACTGGCAAAATAAGCCAGGCATCAGGAAGCAGGGCTCTTTTTGGCAGTTCTTCCCACAGGGGGCATCTGGGCCCAGGCATCTCTGACTGCTGCCGTGACTGACCAACATGCTGTTTCCTGCCATTGCAGGTGTATGTGCTAAAGCGGCCACATGTGGACGAGTTCCTCCAGAGGATGGGGCAGCTATTCGAATGCGTGCTCTTTACTGCCAGCCTAGCCAAGGTGCGTCGTACTCCCCACTGCAGACTCCCAGCTGTCATCCCAGCCCCTCCACCCTCAAATCGACCAAGAGCTCTTTGTTAAGGTGGAGGAAGCTGTTTTTATGGTGACAGGTTCCCACCCCAGATGGGATGGATGCAGGCCATATGCATACTGCCAGGCTGAAAGGCTTCTGGTTACCATGGTGACAGGGAGCACTTAGAACAAATGCTCCATGAAGTTGCTATACACAGCCGCCTGAAACCAGTTATCCACAAGTGGCATCACAGACCTGTCCATTGTGACTATAGAAAGATGGCTGCACACCACAGGCATGTCAGAGCAGCCCTCATCCTCTGACTGGCAACTGGATGGTAGAGGTCTCTGTATACTTGGGTTTAGCATCCACGGGTTTGGGGGGGAAGCAGGTGAGAGACAAGTGTCAAGAGTGAGTGGCAGGCATGGGCTGATGAGAGTTCTGATTAGCCTGTGTGGTGCTGGTAAGTGCCTTCACTTCTGGCACCTTGGTTTCCTCTTGTATAATTGGGGAAAAATCCCATCTGCTTGATGGAGTGGATTAAATGAAATGGCCCTGTGAATGGTTTAGCACAATGCCTGACTTCAGTTCAGCAGATATCCACTGAGCACTTGGCATGTTTTGTATACTGTGCTGGGTACTGTCACAGGGTAAGCACTCCTGGTGTCCAGTAGGTAATGTCATGTTAGTGGTAATAATATCCTTATAGCTCAGTATAGTTCTCTGGCCCAGGGTCTGTACTTGATCTGGCTAAATAGAGTGGTTGATTTGACCTTTTCTACTTTTAAGGAAACTGACAGGTTCCCAGGCCCTCCAATAGGTTTAATTTTCCCCTTCATAGGTATCATGGTTTGTCGAAGACAAGCAGAACAGGCCTTTTCTCCTTCTCCAGGCAACCGCTATGATCATCTGCCAAACCCTGACTCTCACAGGGCCATTATAATCCACTTAGTATCACTACCAGTATCTCCATAGGCATCTCAGGAACTCTGAGTGACCTCAAAGATGAGTTTCTATGAGTACGGGTTACCTGTGTACAGAGCTGCTCTAGGGAGCCACCAGCAGCTCCTTCCTACGTAGCTTTACTCAGATGGAGCAAAGGCACTCTGGTGCCCACATTCCTCTGCTTGTTAGACCTTTGACCCCAGGTCCTTGACACATTGCTCTGCCGGCTGAGGACTTCCTGGCTGGGTACTTTGGCCAGAGCCAAGAACCATTTACATAGCGCTCCACCAGCCTCATCAGCAGGTCTGAGAGGTGAGCTGCTGGGGAAGGATCCCAAACCTGGGTTTTATTCTCATGTACATAAAAAACCAGCATGGCCTCAAAGCAAATGTAGCCTTCCCCAGTGGGTGATCATTCAGGTGAGTGGTGCCAAGACTAATTGCATCTGCAGCTTCAATGGCTCTTCTGACACTGCTCCAGGATGCTGAGGAAACTGAAGTAATAACCAGAGAAATAGCAAGCAGGAAGATTGCACCGGTGCGCTGGACCGAGAGTTGTTTTTTTCCTTGGCATTGTCCCCAGTTGTTCGCTTAACATCCTTGTTTGGGCTGCACTTCCTGGACTGCTCCCACCTGCCCCGCCATCTGTTTCTCCAGCCCTGCTCTCACTGCTGTTCCTGGCTGGCAGACCAAACTCAGCTCCCAGTGCAGCTTTGCAGCCCTCTCCACCCTGATGACCAAGTTGTACAGCTGGGTGGGCTTTGTTCTAGCTCTTGAGTATGGACTTAGCCCAACACTCAGCCAGCAGCATTTGTATGGCTGGCCTCACCGCCCACCACTCGGACCTGTAAGAATAGCTTTCTGACTCTCAGAGCCCTTTAATAGCTGCTTTGTCATACCCCTTCACCCCTTCCAGCAAGGATTTACTCAGTACTTGCATCACTCATGGTATGGCACCAAAGATACAGAAGAGAACCAAAGAGACAAGAGCCCCTGCCTTCATGCGCATAGTCTCCATCCTCATCTCCCAGATCTGGAGTCCCCAGATGCCCATGCTCCCTAAAAGATGATTACCACCACCACCCGTGGCAGCAACGAGGAGAAAATGAGCCATGTTTTCACATCCAGGTCAGCCCTCTGCAGCCCACCCATATGACCTTGGCCAGCCTCGCTAGACTAGTGCTCTAGCTCTCCCTCTGTTTGGTCAGTAAGAGATGCAACTGCTTCTGGACTCTACCTCCATCAGGATGTCTTGGAGCAGAGGACTTTCCCACAGACCCAGCTGTAGTACATCCTACTGTGGCCTTCCTGACTCAGCCTCAGCTGCTCGCTTTCTGGGTTGCCAGCCCCAGGGATCCCTGGCTGTGTGCCCCACTTTGGTCTTGGCACTGAGGCCAGGCCTCAAGTGAAGCTTACAGGACATGGCAGTGAGGAAAGTGGGCCTTACTCCAAGGGCAGACGGTGGAGAGTTTTTAAGCAAGGCAGTGATAGGATGGGCTATATGCTTATCCGTGGCCACTCTGACAGCTTTGTGGTAAAAGTCTGGGGGAGGCCCAACAGGAAATAGGAGCCTTCCAAGCCAGAGCCTGGAGGCCTAGTCCAGGGTGGTGCAATGAACTAGAGAGATGAAGGATATTTTTGGAGATGAAACTGACAGGAACTTCTGATGAATTAGATGGAGATGAAATGAAAGAATCCAGTGCTTTCTCATATACGAGGAAAGGGAAATAACCAGGATCCTAAAAGACTTCCCATTATTGCAGTCCCTTCTTTAAAAGTAGTCCAAGAAGCCAATGAGAGGACTTGGCAGGCCGGTCACCTGAGTCAGAGCCCCAGAACCTACACAAAGGTAGAAAGAGAAAACCAATTCCACAAAGTTGTCTTCTAACTTCCACATGTGCATCATGGTGTGAGCATGCACACACACACACACACACACACACACACCACCAACAACAACAACAATAAAACTCTTTTTTTCTTTTTTGGTATTTTTGAGACAGGGTCTCCCTGTAGCTCTAGCTGTCCTAGAACTCACTATGTAGACCAGGCTGGCCTTGAACTCACAGAGATCCGCCTGCCTCTGCCTCCCAAGTGCTGGGATTAAAGGCATGTGCCACCACACCCAGCAATAATAAAACTTTTAAGTTAAAATAAAAAGTAGTCTGAGACTAGGAAGATGGAGGATGTGAGTTCAGATTCCCAGCACCCACATTAAAAGCTGGGTGGGTGGCACTCCTCTGTAATCCCAGCACTGGGGAGGAAAAGACAGGATATCTGTGGCGCTTGCTAGGCAGCCAGTCAAGATGAATCAGTGAGCTCCAGGTCCAGCGAAAGACTCTGTCTCAAAAAATAAGGTGGAGAACAATAGAGGAAGACACCTGACATTGACCTCTGGCCTCCGCACACACATGCACCTGCACCTGCACATACAAACAAAACAAAAATAGTCTGAACCTGGTGTGGTGGCTCATGCCTATAATTTCAGCACAGAGGAGTTCCAGGTCCACCTGGGCTACTAAATGAAACTCTGTCTTAGGGGAAAAAAAAAAGTATTCTGGATCTTGGTATCATAGATCAGATCAGAGTCTCCGGCTCTTCCAGACACCCAGCCTTCATTGGGACACCTTCTTTATAGTATGCAGACCCTGTGGCTGACCTCCTAGACCGCTGGGGTGTGTTCCGAGCCCGGCTCTTCAGAGAATCCTGTGTTTTCCATCGTGGAAACTATGTGAAGGACCTAAGTCGGCTGGGACGGGAGCTGAGCAAAGTGATCATTGTGGACAATTCTCCTGCCTCCTACATCTTCCATCCTGAGAATGCAGTAAGTATCCCCAGAGGTGGGACCACAGGCTCATGCTGAGCTCCGCCTTGCCAGGCGAGCACTACTTCTGAACACCTGCACAAGGACTCAGTGTTATGGAGGTGAAAAGTGCTTAGAACAGAGCTTGAGCCTGGCAAGTGCTCAGTCTGCCTGCCTCTCCTTAGCATTTGAGTATTGCTACCAAGAGGACTCTGTCTTTAACCTCGTAGAGTTGGCTGCTGCCCAGAACTTCATGACCCCTTAAACTCAGCAGGTAACCCCCCTCCCTAGAAGTGTATCTTCAACAGGATGAATAAAACACTTCAGAAATGGCTTCCAGTAATACTGTCACCTCTACCACCTCAGGGAACGTTTCTTACATAAAACTCCCTGGAGCGTGGCCACCTTTGATTGATGGCTGCGCACCAGGGCAGCATGGCTCTCAGCAGGAGGGTGATATCCTCTCACCACCTGCTGGGCATTTCCATGGAGAGAGAGTTCACCCAGGTTCACAGTCATCACACCAAGCCTTCAACCCAGGTAGTTCCCAGGAAAGGATGTGTGCTTCTCAGGCCTACAAGCATCCCTTTTTAAAGTCCAGAATCTATAGCTCTGCTTATAACGAGGAAAATAAATAAACTCAAACTACATCCATTTAGCCAGGATAACAATAAACATTCAAAATGTCTTATATTTGAATAACTTATATTTCTGGGTATGGTATGGTACACACCTTTAATCCCAGCACTTGAGAGGCAGAGGCAAGAGGATCTCTGTGAGTTCAAGGCCAGCCTGGTCTACATAGAGAATTCCAGGCCAGCCACGGCTATGTAGAAAGACTCTGTCTCTAAATAAATAAATAAGTTCATGTTAACAAGCCAATCAAATTCCACCTAATGCATTTGGTTGTGTCTCTAACAGATAAGAATAATAGGGATTTTTTTTATTATTATTTTATGTATTTTGCCCACATATATGTAAGTCTGCCATGTGAGTACAGTGCCTGCAGAGGTCAGAAGATGTCGTCAGATCCCCTGGAGCTGTATTTACGGATGGTTGTTAGCTGCCATTTAGATGCTGGGAACCATGCCTGGGTCCTCTGCAAGAGCAGCCAATGCTCTTTAACTGCTGAGCCTTCTCTCCAACCCCAGGGTTATGTTTTAATGTAATCACAGTTCCATTACCACATACTGCACAGCAGTTTCTTGGGTTAGCCATACTCCACACTGTGTTCATATTGAAATGTTTTCTTGCACTTGAGTTGTTTGAATCAGGATCTAAAGGTCTGTGCATTGCTACAATTAACATGTCTCAGTTTTCTGTAGTCTTAACGGTTCTTCTTCCCTACCTTTTTTTTTTTTTTTTTTTTTTTTTTTTTTTTTTTTTTTTTTTTTTTAATTTGTTAAAGATTTGCTAATTTGTCTTACAGAAATTTCCAGCATTCTGGATTTGTCTAGTTTTTTGTGGTGATGGTGGTTAATGTTTTTCTAGACACCTTTCCTCTTTTAGGCAGGCAACTAGACTTTCTAGCCACTGTTTTGTTAAATTCAGACTCATTTCCTTTTGCTCTTTTTAAATTTTTTTATTTATTTAAAGATTTATTTTTATTTGTGTGTGTGTGTGTGTGTCTGTGTGTGTGTCTGTGTGTCTGTATGTGGGTATGTGCATGTGAGTGCAGTGCCCACAGAGGCCAGAAGAGGATATCAGATCCACTGGAGTTACAGGCAGTTGTGAGTCACTTAATGTGGGTGTTAAGGACTGAACTTGGGTCCTCTAGAAAAGGAGCCAGCACTATTAACAGCTGACCCCATCTCTCTATCCCCTTTTTTCTTCTAGCAAGAATATGTCATAGGTTGGGCTAGCCATGCAGCTCATTTGGTACAATACTTGCCTAGCATGTACAAAACGCTGGGTTCAGTCTCTAGCACTGCATAAACCAGGCATGGTAGCATGTGCCTGTGATCCCAGCACTCAAGCGATGGAGGCAGAAGTTCAAGGTCATCCTCAGGTATGGTGAATTTGAGGCCATCCCAGACTACAAAAGACCCTGCTTCAAAATTTTAAAAGCACAAAGGCAATATAGTGTTCTCCCTATGTAATCTTATCAGGACACATGTCATAGACTGCTTACTTTGAAAGATTTAAAGTTGATCATTGTGTTCAGATGCTATTGGTCGGATTTATCATTGTAAATAACCCATCAGCCTTTCCCCTCATGATTTCAGCAATGGTTGCTAATCAGTACCTACACCCACTATTGTGGAGGCAATTGCAAATGAGTCTTTCTAAATCTTATCATTATTTCTGCCTTTACTGGCCAGAATTCTTGTAAAACTAATTAATTAATTAATAAAATTTATCCTTATCGACTACTTATTTTTTTGACTATTATTTATTTCTTTGTTTAAATGTTTGCCTAGAGAAAGCAGGATAAAAGCCTTGGTTCTTTTTCTTTAATTCTGAAGTTTCAGACTAATGAGTTGATACTCTATTAGTCTCCAAAAGTAGCCAGTAAGTTTTAATATTTATTTACTTATTTATTTAATATTTATAAGCTCATGGCTTTTTTGGTGTCCTAATCCAGTTCATTAATTCTTTTGGAAGGTCAAATTTTTACTTTGAACCAGGGAAACCCCTTCAAATAGCAATAATCCTCAATAGCCTCCTTACGTCCTGGTATAAGATATCGCAGGCTTGGAGCGTTGTGACTGAGAGGTAGAGCATGTTTGTGCAGTTCTCAAGGCCCTGTATTCAACCACCAGCATAAAAAAGGTAAAAGTCGGGGGCTGGAGAGATGGCTCAGCAGTTAAGAACACTGACTGTTCTTGCAGAAAACCTGGGCTGGAATCCCAGCACCCACATGGCAGCTAACAACTGTTCTTAACTCCAGTCTCAGGGGATCCGACAGCTTCTTCTCTCCTCTGCAGGCATTGCACAACACAGGTACACTTACCTACATGCAGGCAATACACACATACACATAAAATAAAAATAATAAATAAAATATTTTTTAAAAAGACAAAAGTCACTCCAGGCTCACCCTGAACATTCTTGCTTCTGCCCTGCAATCAGCCATTTTTCCATGGAGCCTGGTTCCTGTTAGTAGAAATGGCATTTGAGACTGCAAGTCAGGTGAGCTTTCATTGCTCCTGAGATGTTCTTTGCTTTTAGCTATATTATAGGTAAGAACTTAGGAGAGGGGGCACTATTTCTAGATAGAAAACTAAATCATAAATTAATATTGTATTTTCCAATTCAACATTAAGATAACAGAGTTTATTTAACTGCTTAATGTCTGCATTTGAATCTCATGCTAAAATGCTTGGTCCTAACATTCTTAGGATAATTACATATCTGGGGGTTGGGTGAGATGGCATAGTGGATGATGCACTTGTCACCCAATTATGAAGAACTGAGTTGGGATCCCCAGAACTCACATAAAGCCAGATGCAGTCGTGCACGTCTGTAGTCACTGTGCTCATGCGGTGAGATCAGAGGCAGAGATACAGTTCCAGAAGCGTACGGGCCAGCTAGCCTGATGTGTGCAACAAACAAGAGACTCTGTCTCAAACAGTGGAAGGTGAGGACCAACGCCAAGGTTGTGCTCTGAACTCCACCCGCACGCCCGTACTCATACACACTTGTGCACATACATTTGTACACACACAGATAAAAGAAAGGAAAAAAGGGAATTTTGTAATTACATCCTCAGTTTCTTCTGTGGCATATTTTTAAGTGGTGGTACTGATATTAATTACTTCTGAAAGTTGAGTGCATGGGAGGAATCAGCTCCTGCAAACTGTCCTCTGTCCTCCACACACACACACTGTGACACACGTGAACCTGCACACATACCACACAAAATAAACATATTTCCTGTGACCAAGATACATGTATGAAATTTTCCAAAGAATAAATTGTAAAAATAAGTAGAAAAGAGAAAGCAAACAAAAAGTGTCTTAGAGGCTGAATGCAGTATAGGGTTTCTTGGAGAGACAGTCAGACATTGTTTTTAAATCACTTGAATTAATTCCTGTGATTAATTAAACAGGGTTTTTACTGCAGTTTTCTTAATGACTTTATTTTATTTTGTTTTGTTTTATTTTAATTATAGAGCACATTTTCTTGGTTCCAACATCAAAACTGTCTGTGAAGGGGCTGGAAAGATGGCTCAGCGTTAAGAGCACTTGCTGCTCTTCCAGAGGATCTCAGTTTGGTTCCCACCACCCACAACAGACAGCTCACAACCACCTGTAACTCCAACTCCAGGGGATCCGGTGCCCTCTTCTGGCCTGCACTCACATATATGTAGGCAAAATACTCATACACATAAAGTTTTTTGAAAATTTTTAATCTTTTTGTTTTTAAGCTCTAATGAAGATACATGTAGATAATCTTTGGTTGATTTGTGCTTCCCCATCCCCCCACCCCCATTACCTCGTCTTCCCCTAGGGTACTCATTTTAATATTAGTCCTTACAGGTTTACTTTTTTAATTACCATGAATTTTTGGTTAGATTTGTAGAAGGGCCAGAATGTAACCTTTAAAGCTTTCAGGGGTAGGGATGTAGCTCAGTGGTAGAACTTGCCTCACACATATGAGACTGTAGAGTCCATCTCAGGACTGAAAATCCGGCAATCAATAAATACTTTTTGATTTTCATCTTTCTATTTTTATCTTTTGGTGTTTTTGAGACAGGCTCTGGCCTGGAACTTGCTATGTAGACCAGGCTGGCCTAGATCTCACAGAGATCCACATGCCTCTGCCTCCAAAGTGCTGAGATTAAAGGCATGTGCCACCGTACCCGGCTTCTCAAATTTCCTTATAAAGCTCGTCTATGAGCTTCTAGCTGCCACATGCTGTCACCTCTCCCTCCTCCACCTAAAGCTAAAGGAATCTTGTCTTTGCCCACGGCTTCTGAATGCCCTAAAATTCTATATTTTCGTGCTTACCTGGTTACTGCTAACCACAGGTGGAAGTTATCTGTTTCTCTTCATACACAGCATAGTACAGTACCTCTTAAGTAGAGACCCCATGGACCTGAATGTGGACTCTGTGGTGTTAGTGGTTGGCAGGTGAACTCTGAGAGGCATCAAGAGCTCTGACAGGCAAATAGCCGATTCAATGCAATAAAAATATCTTGGAAGCTGGCAGTGAGTAAGCTAGTTCTCTATTTTGTACTCTGGGCACTTTTTTCTGCAGCGGGAAAATGAAACAGGCAAATGTGCACACACTGGGGACTCTGCCTTACTGAGGCATCTCCAGCACCTGTATCAGCCCTCTTCAACTCTAGTACGAGCTCTGGACTGACTCTGGTTAGAACTGGGGAACTAACAGAAGGATGGTGGGGACGATGATGGTCCCATTCTGTTGCCTCCTCCACACACTGTCTTGCAGGTGCCTGTGCAGTCCTGGTTCGATGACATGACAGACACAGAGCTACTGGACCTCATCCCATTCTTTGAGGGCTTGAGCCAAGAGGATGACGTGTACAGCATGCTGCACAGACTCTGCAGCAGGTAGCCCTGGCCTCGGCCTGCCTCCACCTGAGCACTCCGGAACCTCTGGCTTAAGGGACCTGCCCAGCCTCTGCTCCCCAAGTGGACCATGAGGAGACTGTGCTCTGGGCCACAGGGTGAATGTGGCCATGCCTACCTGTTTTGTTTTGTTTTGTTTTTTAAAGAACAGAAACAACTATTTTAAAAGAAAAAAAAGAACTCTTTTAACAGATTTCATAAAGGGACATGCATTTTACCAGATTTGCTTTTCTTAATACATACCAAAAAGAAAAAAGAAAAAAAAAAAAAGCTTGGTACCTATCAGACTTCCTTTCACCTGTCCTTCCCTTCCAAGCACAACCTGTCCCCTTTGTCCCAGTTTGGAGCAGCTGACCCAACTCAGAATCTCTCTCCTACAGGATGAAGTGCCTTTTTGAACGTTATTTTAAGCTGAGAGTTAATTTTTCTACTACATAACCTATTTCCAGACATCTTTTAGTCTTTTATTGTCTTAGATACTCTAAGAAGATGAACATGACAATTTTCTAGAACCTGGTAGCATGTGTGTGGTGGGGTGGTGGTGGTCAGGGAGGGGAGTGAGTCATAAGAGCCAACCCTGCAACAGGTGCGACTGTGTTCCATCAATCTGTGGCATGCTACAGGTTCAGGCTCCCTCTGACAGTGTTCTTGTGACTGTGTCATTGTCCCCACTCATTTCTGATCCAGTCCCAAGCGTCTGCCATTGTGTGGCTCAGTGCTTTATTACAGTTTCTTTCTATTACGATTTCTGATGAAGAGAACATTTGTCTTGAGGTTGCATTTCCCTTTTGAAAGCTAACCATCCCATCACTATGGTTTCCTACAACTGCCACGTTTGTCCTTTGTCATCGTTCTGTTGTTATTGGTTTGGGTAGAACAGTTACAAGAAACCCTAAAACCCTTGGATCTTTAAGTCTTTCCTTTCCAAAAGCTGGATACCCGTGGAGCTATTTGGGAATTTTCTTTGCTGCTACCACGCTGCCACCAAATGGAATTGACCAGCGGCTGTTACACTGTTCTTTGCCACTGTGCCTATATGCTCAGAGTCCACTCACTGCTAAGCTGCAAACTCAGACAGGGTCAGAAAGAAACAGGTGCCCCGCCCTGTCGCACACTGCACCAACTGTCTCCCTTCTCTGCCCTGACCACCAGGAATGCTGAAGGGTGCAAAGGCAAAAAAGGGTCAGAGCACCTACTCCGGTGCAGCGTTCATTTTACACTGCGGTCAACATCAGATCCTGTGATAAGCTCACTGTTCCCGCTTAAGAACCTGTGGCCTCCATCCAGCTGCCAGGCTTCTGTGGCCCGAGTTCATCTCTCAGTCTCCTTGGAAGCACCGCTTCTTTGAGTCAAGGGTTGGAGAAGCCTGTCTAGATGTGAGACTCAGCGCTCCAAACCAGGGAGAAGGGCTCCTCCTTGGAGCCCAGAGGTCTCCTTGCAGCCTTTCCCAGTTCAGTGTTTAAACAGCGCCATGTTACTCACTTGACAAGACAGTCTGGAAAGTACTGCTTTTCCAAAGAATGAAGAAAAGAACCTTTTCATGTTGGCACCATTGCCTTAGTCCTCTGTGGGTTGGGCCTCAGCCAGATCTCTGATGGGCGTCACTGGCACTAACAAGACTGAACATTGAAGGTCAAAGTAAAAAAAAAAAAATTATGCTTTTGCCCACAAAATGATGAAGCCAGCTGCCAGTCATGTTCTCCCAACAGTGCTTTGGTCTGGGGACCACTGTGCATTTCGAAGAGAAATATTTAGGAGTCACCAGGTCTCCTGACATCCTGAGTGTTCCTAACCCAATAATCCCTGTGCCAATTAAAATAGAAACAGTCCCTTTGCTAACCATTACCACAGATGACCATTACATGGCAGATCTGGACACACCATAAACCTTCATTTGGAAAACCAATCATTAAGCGACCCCACTGCCTTAAGTGTCTTGAATGTTGTGGTATCTGCCATATGTTGATCTCCACTCAGAATGAGGCCCAGATGAGAGCCATAGATCTTTACCTGTGCCCCCTTCTGTGTTGGCATCACAGGGCCTTATTTGGAAGAGGAGTGAGAGTGGACTGAAATTCCAGAATATTTCAGGGGAATCTAGCCTAGGAATTCACTTCACACAGGTTCAAGGCCAACCCTCCACCTCATGGTTCTGGAACTGTAGGGGCCAGTGTACTCGTAGTCCAGAGCTTCTGGGCAGGGAGCCCCATTCCTGCCTCCACAGACACAAAATGTCTCAGGTGGGCAGCAGAGCCTCTGAGGGATCTGCAATCTGTGCACCTTATTTGACCACAGTCCAAAATGCCTATTTTTTTTTTATTTTAGCCCTGGATTCTACTTTATGTACATAATCAAAATATATATATATATATTTTTAATCATCTACATGTAAATGAAGCAATAGAATTCTAACATAAGGCCAAGAAAAGAGACAAATGTGTGGGGTTTATTTTCTTAAGGTAAATACGGGTATTGTTTTTAATCCTTACCTTTTATTAAATCATGGGCTTTAAAACCTAATAAAACTATTAGCTACTCCTCTGTGCCATATCTTTCCCAAATTACCAAAACACTCCAACTCTTTAGCCAAAAGAAACGTCTGGCCTCCCAAGTTTCCATGGTCTCCATACCAGATTAAAACAGTCTCCTAGGCAAATATTTTTGACATTAAGATCTGGAACAGAGTTGCTTGGGTTTGTGGACTCCAGCCCACATCTTTTGCCTGACCTCGAGTGGGGGGTGCCTGAGTGCCCCTGACTCCTGACAGTGTTAGTGCTCTGTCTTCCATTTATTCTAGAATCCTCCATGTTGATCTGTGGGTTCATGCACTACTTGTTTGTAAACAATGCATTTGTATCCTTTAACACCACCTGTCACAGATGGGGATTCCTTTGACACGGTGTAATTTTGATGAGATGAGTTTGGGGACATGAGGATACCCACATGGCACTTGCTTGTCATGGTTGCAGCATGTGAACTTTGGGTAGAAAAATGACGTTAGTAAGTGTGTATAACTGGCAGCATTTTACAACCCTGTATTTTAAAGATGGCTTTCTAATAAAAATCCAGAAACACAGCCCTGGTCAAACACTCGTGACGTTTGTGCCTCTGCTTTTAAAGGTGCTGTGCTGGACACTTGGCATGCCAGGGTTTGAGAAAAGTAGATGGCCTGATGTACTCATAGTTCCCTGTGCAAAATCACTGGCTGCCTCTGTTCCTATTTTACTGTAAATCTGATTGTATTGTTCCTAAACCATTCTCCCAGGAGCTGCTCTAAAGATGGACACCTCCCCCACCCAGCAGTGGCAATGTTGGTGTCTGGGTAGCCACGGTTCTGTGCTGGAAATTTGAATATGATGATCCAGCGCTACTTGGGAAACACTATGTGTGGAATATGTACAATTCCAGGGGCAAGTATTGTCAATCAGTGTTTTCCTTCCTGCCAAAAATAAACAGGTGAATCTGCTGTTTTGTAAATGAATTGCTTCTTCAGGGCAGTGCCTCTTCCCTCTGTTTTCTGTCCCCTGCACACCCTTCTGCCAGTACTTTGGACCTCTCAGTGTTGCCACTTCTGCAGAACAGAGTAGATGGAAGCAGGACTGCAAGACCCAGTGCCACAGGCCTCAACCCACATAGGGAAAGCTAGAAGCCTATCCAACCCAAATTGCTTATCATTTGAAAGTTGGCAGCTGCCAGCCTTCTGACCCTCTTTCCCCAAACAGAGGCCGTGTAATTCACCATCTTCCCACAAGGACTCCAGTCCTACTAACAGGCTTCCATGTACAGCAAGAGAGAACCCTAATGTTGCCCCTGCCCCACAAAAGCCATCGGCATTGTGTGTGATGCCAAACTCCACAGCCATGAGTTCATTAGAGATGGAGTGACTGCTGGAAGTACGGCAGGGAGTCAGGAAAAGAACAAGGATGGGCTGGGGATGTGGCTCAGTTGGTAGAGTTCTTACTTGGCATGCATGAAACCCTAGGGTTTGATCTCCAGCACCATATAAACCAGATGTGATGATGCAGACCTGTAATTCCAGCACCACGGAGGTGGAGGCAGGAGAATCAGGAGTTCAAGGTCATCCTTGGCATAATGAGTTTGAGGTCAGCCTGGGATATATGAGACCCTGTCTCACAAACAAAAAGAATAATGACAAAGCAGAGGATTTCTCACAGTGAGACACCCTGTAGATATCGGCCCTGGCATAGCCTCTCCACATGAAGGGCCGCAAAGCCCACTGACTCGGGGCTTCTGTCAGGGACTTGATGGTTTCGCCACTCTCTAGACTTAGTTTCTTCATAATAACACCAGATTCAGATACCAGAACATCAACAGTTTCAATCTCATCAGACATGTATGCCCTCATTTTATGCACAAGAAAACTGAGGCAGTGAGACACAGTTTTGTGGTTGCTGTTCCATCATGGAATGCTGACTTCTGCCACATGTACAGTTGACCCTCTAGATCTGTGGGTTCCACAGCTGCAGGTTCAGCCAACCACAGATCAGAAATAGTTTTGGAGGCAGTAATGTATCAGTACTTAACATTCTTAACAGACTTTCTTCTTTCAGGTTTCCCAGATGATAAAGCAATTATTTACATAGTATGTTTATTGTGTTAAGTGTAAGTAGAGATGAATTAATGTTTGCACCAGAGTGTGCATAGGTTACACAAAAGTGCATATTACTTAATATGCTTGTGCATCTGTGGACTTGGTATGGGGGGGGGCGTTGGGACCAATCACCTAGGGATACCTACAGACAACTACATATGCATCCCCAACAACCAGTGGGGCATCAGTGGGCTTTGCTGAATTTCATGTAGAGAGGCTGTACCAGGGGCAATGTATACAAGGTATCTCACGTGGGAAAACCCTGTCTCATTGTGGGAAATCCTCTGCTTCATCAGGACATGGTGTGTGCATCAGCCCAGGAGATCTAATATTTCCCTGGAGATTCAACTCTAAATACCCCACAGCTAGTCTGTGCTGGGTACCTATCCTTCACAGTGGAATAGCTGACCAGCCAGAGGGAAGTCACTCTAGCTTACCTGGTTCTGACTTCTAGACTGTGCCCCCTTCCTGTCTTCCTTTCCCTCTGCTCCCTAATCCTCTCTTCTCCTCTGGCCCTCTTTGCCATTAGCCCAGATCCTCTGCTATTTCACACTTCTATATACATACAGATATTTGACCCAGGCTTGTGGCATCCCTGGGACTGAGGTGGCCTAGTGAGGGTCCATGCAGGTGGGAAAGAAAGACAGGTCATCAAAAGGACACCTATTTGTGACTTGAGAACACAGATTTCCCCGTTGATGTTTTATAGTTGTAGCACAGATCATCTGTCTATTACATGATGAAAGAGTGGGAGGGAGCAAGCAGGTAGGGGAAGGGGCAGCCTGGGAATAGTAAAAAGACTAGCTGACAATCTGGTGAGTTTATGAACGAGAAGGCCCTTGGGACTGTTGGCAGGGCCGCTGGAATATCCAGGCATGCTTGGATATTAGGTTCCCTTTGCCAGAGCTCACTGTAGACCAACAGGGTTCTCAAAACCCAGAACCTCTAACCAGCAGGTCACCAGCCTAACACTAGTAAAGGCTGAACCCTCAGGCTGTGAGACAGAGGCATTCGGGCCCCCAAGCTTTCCAATCAAAACTCCATCACAGATCCAACTGTGGCTACACTGGGACTCACCATCACACACACACACACACACACACACACACACCTGAGGGGAGACAATGACTCAGTGGGTAAGTGCTTCTGCTCAAGCATGAGGGCCTGAGTTTGAATCCCCAGCACCCACATAAGACACAAACTAAAGCAGGCATGAGTTTGTTCTGCAGAATCCACATAAAAATGCAATGCATGATGAAATGTGCTTATAATCCCAGGTCTAAGGCAGCAGAGCCAGGTGGATCTTGGGCTCGCTGGCCAGCCAGCTACCCTACCTAATTGGTCATTTCCAGGCCAATAAGAGACTCTGTCTCAAAGAGGTAGACAATGTTCCTGAGAATGATACCCAGGGTTGTTCTCCAACCTCCACATGCACAGAACATACCCAAATGTGCATATATATGCTAATACACATGCATAAAAGGAAAAAAGCTACAGACTCCTCACAGTCACCCTGGCCATTGAGTCAAACCTCTGAAGATGGACGCCTTCTTTAAATATACAGGAGGGCTGAAAACTGCTGCCTGACTACAGAAGAAAGGGAAGTTTTCCCAAACCATTCCAGGCCTGGTACCCAGGAAGGCTTTGGGGATGACATGCAGCTTTCCTTGGAAGCTGTGTAGCATGTGCTCAGTGCTAAAAGGGAGAGTCCAGAAATATACACCTGAGCAATGGGGCCCTCCCCAAGGCCAGAGCAATGGGGATGCTGGATAAGAACCCTGGTTCAAGGGCTGGAGAGATGATTCAGTGGTTAAGAGCACTTGCTGCTTTTACAGAGGACCTGGGTTTGGTTCCCAGCATCCACATTGGATAGCTCACAACTGCCTGTAGCTCCAATTCCTGAGGATTCAGTACCTTCTGGCTTTTGCAGGCATGCTTATGGTATACATACATACATACATACATACATATATACATACATACATTCGAGCATTCAAACATAGATATAAAATAAAAATAAATTTAAAATCTAAACATGTTTAAAAAGAACCCTGGCAGGGTTGGGGGTAGACACCCCCATTGTGCATGGGAGCCCAGGCCACCTGACTTCCAGGAGCAGAGCCCAGTTTTCCACTCTCCTACAACAGAAGTGGGACAGTGCTCTACCCCAAGCTGTGTCCTAGTGGACAGACAGGACCATACCCCCCTTGCTACTATGGGCAAAGGAATTATGTCTTCTTACAGGGGGCTATGACTTGGTCTTTGTCTATCCTGGGTACCTTGATGTTCCCACAGCACCCTCAGGATGTAGCTCCTCAGAGGTACCCACACTGGGGACTGGTCACTTCTACTTTAAACTGCAGCCACATGGGGAAGCCCAGCAGGCCTACAGCTGTCCCACTTCATGGACAGAGACTAGGGTGTCTCCAGCCACTCCAAGTGTCCTCAGGACTAGAGTCAATATTTCCTGGTTCTCCCCCACACCTCTGCCCTTCTCCTGAAGGGCAGGGACTCCTGGAGGGGTTCCTCAGAAGCCTGGGAAAGACTGAGCAGTGGCAGGAATAACCTGAGAACTCCATGGAGCACCTAGGGGCCTACTTAGGCTACTCCCTCACCTGGGTCAATATTGACAAGGAGAGGGCTAGGCCGGGGTAGATAAGCAGGCAAGAACATAGAGGCCCTGAAGCCCTAGGAACCTATGGGTTAGAGTTGAAAGTCTGCCTGGGCCGGAAGAAATCAGTGGAACAAGGGACTTACCAGATGGTGTTAGCCAGGAAGCTGGGCTCAGTCAGACTCCAAGTTATCTGCTAAGGAGGAAGGATCAGGGTGGGTCTGTCCATGGGGGGAGACTAGCCAAACAGAGACTAGAATGGAAACCCCTTGCTCTAGGGAAGGAGAGAAGAGGCTTAATAACTTATCCCCTCAATCTTGTAATACCTGTGAGCCTAACCTGGGTCTGATTCCTCTCTTATACCATAGATGTGATAACTACAACCAGGGATTACCTAAACCAGACACCAAGGGCTAGGACCTAATCTACCTGCCATTTCTCCAGGCTCTGAGATAACAGTCACAGGGTGAGGGGAATCTAGAGAAGGGTAGCTTTATTCAGGCAGTACCATCTGTGTCACAGGAACCCAAAGACTTGAGGAGAGGGGCTTTGGAGGGGCTTGTGCATGTCATTAAGTTGTTGGGGCTAGACTGTCCTGGGTGGGGTGTCCTGTCCAAAGTGGGGGCTGGAGGAAAAGCATCCCCTGGGAAAAAATAGCTCAGAAAGAGCTAAGAACTGTCTCTAAGGTCTCTCAGCCAGGGTGGTGGCAGAGTAAAGGCAGAGCCCAACTGTGAAGAAAAGTCCTTGTCCTGTTTCTAGACAGAACCTCCACCCATCACACATGCCCACTTACACATGCAAAACACACACACACACACACACACACACACACACCATACTCCATGGGACCAGGGACACACAAGCTGAGCAACTGCAGTGCACCAGCCACCATCCTAGGAGAAATGGCACTGACAGATCAGTGAGCAAGGCCCTGACCTCAAGGGGCTAAAATTCTACCTAGGGATGCTGTCCCTGGACAAGAGACCAGTCAACAAAAGTTTCCAGTTGAGTCTTTGGTAGGCCAAGGCTGAGATCCTAGCAGACACCTTGAGAAGGTGGGCTCCAACCTCCATCGGTGTAGCGCCTGTGATTGCAGCACACCACCAGAGAGTGCTGGGTTCTGGCCTCCCTCTGGCATAGGGGCTGAGAACACCCAGATCCTGCCTCCACATGGTTGGGGTCCAAACCTTAGAAAGAAGCCTGAGTGTACCTGAATGGAACCTGACTTGGGCTTCTGTGGGTG